CTTAGGGTTTAGGGTGAATGCCCTGTAAAATGCGCACACTGAACCCTGCAGTCAATACCCAGACGAGAAGACCGAGGACATAGCAGCCCCTAAAAACACTACCCTATTCAAGAAACCTCTGCTCCTCTGGCCTACTTGCAGGAACAGGGTCCCTGGGCCCTGCTCAACGGCCGTGTCTACCTTCCAGAGTATGAAGAAGCGCCATTTGTTCAGCGCCATGTAACCTACGGCCAAATATTTTGGTTTGCCTGAGGACAACATATCTCCCTCCATTTAGACCAAATAAAGTCATACGGTACCCGTTGACAATCTCGTGCATTTTTTGGGTTGGGGGGTCGGATGTTTACATCTTATGTACATCAACAAGACTATTGAAATCCTGCAAATGGAGTCCATCATTTTCACTCCGCCAAGACATCCAACCTTGTCCAGTGAGTGCCCCAAAGCCTAGAAAGCCTTAAGCCCTAAACAGCCTAAACCCGAAGCCCTTAAAACCGAAAGCCCGAAAGCCCCCTAACTCGTAACCCCAAAAGCTTATACCAATAACCACAATAACCTCCTAAATCGTTACAGCCACCCGAACCCCTCATCCCCGGACCCTGCAACCCTAAACCCCAAACAACCTTAACCCCTAAAGAGTCCCAAAGTCTTTTCGCTAAAGACCCTTAAACCCTGAAAAGCAGTAATCCCTTAGGAGCCCTGAAGCCCTAATCATAAGCCCTTACACCCAAAGACATGAATCCCCTCGAACCCTACTTAAACAAGCCGAAGGTCGCCAGGAAGCTTCATGCCTAAAACCTACCCCGAAGCCCCTAAACCCTAAAACGCCCAAGGCCCTCAAGAAACCTGAGCAAGGAAGAGCACCGAACCCTAAATACCCTAAATACTCCTTCACGCCCTAAGACGCCTTAAGCCCCAAAGAGCCCCAAACTCGAGAGCAGAAAAACACCTAAGCCCGAAAGTCCCTTTAGACACCAAACGCTCCCAAGCTCTGAACCATAAAATGATATTAAACTCGGAAAACGCCTAAACCTTCAAAAGCAACCCCCAAGATATTTGGTTCAGCTTGGCATGACGGCTGCCTGTCAATTTCCTATGATGTATCAGCGACCCAAGACATTTCAAGGGTAAACCTAGGAGATCTAGTCACGTGTGCGACAGGTTTTACTGCTGATAAGGAAGCCCTGCACAACCCTATGCGCCCAAGATTCCCAGAATTCCACCGCATGTAAAAGCACCCCTGGCGGCATAAGATCTCGTCCATCAACAGCAGTAGGTACCCTCTTTTCTCGAAGTCAAGTATGGTAGGAAGTCAACTGATGGTCCCCAAATTGGACACCAAAT